TAGTATAGTTTTATAAATAGTAACTTTTTTAAAAAGTCCTTTTTAAGTTATATTATTATTACTATAACCCCTTTAATAGTCTTCTCCGGGATTACAAGGTTATTAAAGTTTATTTAGCAGGGGACTGTTAGTTACTTAATAAATTAAATAAATATATTATATATTTATTATTTAGCTTTGGCCCTTATAATTTATTAGCATGCCTTTTTAATTTAAGCACGGATTTATTAGCGTTTTTTTTTTTTTTTTTATAATATTCTTATTCCTGTAATTTCTTTTTTTTTACTAAAATTACTTTTAGCGTTGCTTATAGTTTTTTAATAATTTTTTTACTATTTTTATTTTTTTACCCCTAGGTAAGCACTTCGCGTTTTAATATTCCCTGCGTAGTTTAAGATTTAATAACAAGGGCGTTTTTAAAATTTTTTAGTTAAAAGTTTATAAATTTTTTTTTAGGTATATTAGTTAGTTATTAAGTTAGGGTTTATAATTACTTTTTTAAAGTATTATCCACCGGCCCCTAGAATTAAGTTTATTACCTAGCTATTATATAAAATAGGTTTTCTTTTAAAAAAAAAAATAATTAAAACTATAAGTCGCGTTTATATACTATAATAAGCTTAAAAAAATATAAATTACTATAATAAAAAAGGCGTTATATATTTATAATAAAAACTAATTGCTAATTCTTTTAAGTTAGAGTTTGGAGTTAAATTTAGTATTTTATATATTATATAACTAACCGCCGCCTTAGCACGCGGCTAGTTCAGCGCCAAAGTTCCTCCGCCAGGTGGCCTCAGGCCGCCGGATTGCGTCATTGCAACACTGCGCAGTTGCAACACCATAGTAGTAATAACAATTATATTAAATAATAAAAAAGTAATTTTTAAAAAAAAGGTAAAGTTAACCTATATACTTAATTAAATAATAGCAAGGTATTAATACTATAATTTAATTACTTATAGTTTTTTAAATTACCATGTAACATTTTACTAGTAAAAAAAATTAAGATAAACCTAGGCCTTTAGTATAATAATAAATTATTAAAAATTTAATAAATTAAAAATAATAAAATTATTTTTAAGGTTTAAATTAATAAAAACATGCCTTGGCTAAGTAAACCAAATATTAATAAAAAACTAAGCTTTAATATAGCTTTAGTTTTAATAAGAGTTTGGTATAGGTAATTAGGCCATGTATTAGTATTATAACTTAATAAAAATTATACATAGTTAAATAATAATAGTAAAAATTTTAATAAATATTAAAATAATAAGGTAATTGCAAATTACAAGACATGTAAACTAGTAAAGTTAAAAAAAAGGTTTTTAAAACTTTTTAATAACAAGCTATAAAGCCTTTATAAATAATATATATTAATATTTAATTAATAAAGCCTTAGGGTATATAAAAATATAACTATACTTTATTAATATTTAATAATAACTTTAAGAATTATTTTTACTAGTTTTTATACTAAAAAAATAAGGTAGTAAATATACTTATTTACATGTATTTATAATAGCTTAATATAAGTAAAGTATATATTATAAAAATAAGATATAATAATACCAGGGATTTTAATAATTATAAGGCCTAGTATTATTAAAATTAAACTAGTATTAAATTTAAAAAAACTTTAAGTTATATACCTAAAAAAATAGTAAAATTAAGTATTTTAGTAAATATATTATATAAATTACTTATAATATAATAATAAATATAAAGTTATTAAAAAAGCTATAGCTACTAGTAGTTAAATTTATATTATATATTTAAAATTAATTTATTTAAAAAGGTAAAATAAAACCACTAGTAAAAAAATTTATAAAAAGCCTGGGGATACTAATACTAAATAATACTTTACTAAAGTATTTATAAATTTTTAAATATAATGCTTATATCCACATCCCTGCGGAAATAAAAATAAAAGCTTTAAAAATAATACTTAAAGTAAAAAAAAAAACTTATAAAATATAAAAAATTTTATATTTATAAGGTGTACTTCCTGGAGTTTGGAAAGATTATTAAATTAAAAAATATTATATTTAAAAAAAAAGAAAATAATAATAAAGCGCCTTTACTTACTTTACTACCTTTATTAATTAATCTTAATAAGGGCCCTGGTGGTTTAGTTAGTTTTAATAAATAATTTAAAATATAAAATTTTAATAATAATAATTTATAAGTAGCTAATAAAAGCAAAAAGATTATTATAACTAAAAAAATCTAAACCTTATTCTTAAATCCGGTGCTTTTTGCCCTAAAATCTATAAAATTTACATTAATAAAAAAAGAAGAATTACCAAGCTATAAGGCTTAGTTAATATATTAATTAAGGCCATGTGCTTAGGTATTTAATTAATAAATATTAAAAAAAAGCACCTTTAATAGCTAAGTTAGTATTAACTATAACTACATAAAAGAAAGTTAAATAAGTACTAAAAAAATACTTCTAATATAAATTTTATACAACTATTTAAAAAACTAATAATTAAAGAGATAGTTAAAAAAGTTAAAAAGGTAAAAAAAATATAAAAAAAATATAAAAAAAATATAAAAAAAATATAAAAAAAATACAAGCAAGTAAATTACTAAGTTTATTTATTTTTAATAATATACTAGTATTCTTGCCTTATAAAAAATAGGAAATACAGGCATAAAAAATATTATAATTAATTAAAATAAAAAAAACAAAGTAGTTTTAGAGCAAAAAGTTTTAAAAAACTCACTACCTTTAAAAATTAATAATAAAATATATATAACCGTGGCTTAATACTTTAAGGCTAAAGTATAATATTATAAGAGTAAAAAAAAGAAAAAAAAACACTTTTAATTTATAATAAAAGATCTAGGGCTAATTTTACCTAGTAAAAAAGTTAATAAAAAATAATTTAAATTAGTATATTTTATAAATAAGCAAGCGGAGTAATTAAAGCAAGAATAAAAATATTAAAATATTAAAAAAATAAAGTTAAAATTATTTAATTTATTAGTTCTACCTATACTACTAATTTTAAATAGTGTTTATTTTTTTAAAACCTATAAAATATTAATTTTAAGTAACTATAAAAAATAATAAAGTTTTTTTAAAAAAAGTACTAGATTAAAGTAATAAATAAGTAAAATATTAAGCTTAAAAATATTTTTATATAAAAATTAGTTTCCTAATCTTTAATTATTTAAAAAAAAAGAAAATTATACTAGGAAAATAGGTTTTTAATACTAAAAAAAATAAAAAAAATAATATTAAAAAGTTCCGCGCCCGCTGGGTTATATATAGTAATTTTTAGGTTAAAAATAATAACTTAAAAATATATACTTTAGTTATTATTAACACACTAGTAAAAATTTATTTTATAGTTATTTATAAAAGGGGTTACTATTATATTTAATTTAATATAATAATTACCTATTTTAATTTTATAATAAAGTAAGAAAAGGTTCTTATAAAATAACCTATAGGTTTAAAAAAAAGGATTTTATTTACTTACTTTTCCATGCCTTGTATAAATTAAAAAAAGTAATATATTTTTAAAATAAAATATTTATAAATATATTAAAAAGTATAAGCCTTTAAAATATTAAAAAAAATTTATGTTTTTTTATTACGCCTATACGGGTAGTATTATAATTATTTATATAAATAATATCTTAGTAGTGGCGCTTATAAAAAAAATTTATAAAAAGTTTTTAAAAAAGTTAACTAAGTATTTTAAGCTTAAAATCCTTAAAAAATTAAAGTGGTTCCTGGGATATAATATTAATTTTATAAAAAAAAAATACTTATTTTTTAAAAAACTCATATTTAAAAAATTTTAAATTAACTAAACTTTAATAAATTAAACGGGCAGAGGATTTTAATAAATTTAAAATAAAAATACTTAATAAAGGTAGCTATTACTATATTTAAATTACTATAAAAAATATCCTAAAGTATTAACACTTAATAAAAAAACTTAACTAAATATTTAAAAAAACAAGGCTAGATATTAAATATGCTATAGTAAAATTACTAAAGTATACTTTAAATTCTTAAAATACTAACTTTACCGCGGTTAAGCATATATTTTAATATTTTAAAAAGCACTAAAATTTTAATATTTTCTTAGGTATAAATAATAAAATACTAGTTAAATATATAAATAATTCTTATATTAATTATAAAAAAAATTAATAAAAGTGTATATATTTTATTTTTATAGCATGCCTATTTTTTAAAAATTTATAAGGTAATTAATTATGGCTAAAAGTTTAACTTTAGTAAAATTTATTATATTTAATATAGTGGTAAAAAAGGCTATTTAGCTTAAAAAGCTATATATAGTATTAAGGTTTAATATTAAAAAATTTATAATAATTTATATAAATTTAATAAATATAATTATTAAGTTAGGGAAACCGGGGTATACTCCAGGAATTAAATAAATAAATATTTAATATTTTTTAGTAAAAAATCTTGTTACTAAAAACCTTATAAATTTTAAAAAAATTAATAAAATTAAAAACCTTAAATAACCTAATAAAAGCATTAGATAAGGTAAAGTTTTAAAGTTTTATTAAAATATTAAAGTTAGTAAAAATAAAATTAACATAAAATATTAAAATTTTAGCTATTTAATTACCATGTTTTTATAATTTTTATATTTTTATAAGTTTTATATAACTTTAGTATATTAATACTAAAGGGCCGTGTTAAAGTAAAAAACTAATAGGTTAAAAAAGTTATTAAAAGCCTTTAGCCTAAATTAGCTTTATTTCCCGCGCTTATTTTAAAAAGGCTAGTATTATTATATATTACTTTTTTTATTAAAAATTTTATATATAAATTATTTTTTAGCTAGATTTACTTATTATTTTATAATATTATTATTTATCTTGTAATATTTTTATTTTATCTCCATAAGTAGCTCCTCTGGCCTATCTAACAGGTACTTATCCCAGGGCGACGGAGTATGGTATTTCCCTCCTTATTAAAACGGTACGCAGCGCTGCCCGGGCTAAGGGTCAAACACCTTGCCAGGGTTCATGAGGAAGCTGGACCAGTCAGTCGGAGAAGGAAAACGCCTGGGATAGACAACATACTGAGGATCCAAACTCTTCTTCAACGTGCGCATCACGCCAACGGTCTCCGGACCCAGTTCGTCCAGAAGACATTCCTTCTTGCCGAGGCCGATGCCGTGTTCGCCCTGTCATTATTAGCTAGTTCACCGGGTGTAGCCATTCAGTCCACGGGCGGAAAGAGCGTACCGAAACTGTGCCCTCCATTTCCACCGCCCGATGGACCATTTTCCGGACACATTCCTGCACGGCCTGTGTCTGGGCAGCATTGCCGGGGTCGTACATGACGGCCTGGTGGAAGTTGCCGTCGCCGACGTGGCCCAGGACGCTGGAGAACAGTCCCAAGGCACTGGATTCTTTCTTCGAGAGATCTATGCATATTGCCTTCAATACTCCAGTGAGGGGATCTGCCAGGGAAGACCGACGTACCAATTATCTCGGGCATCCGTGATAACGGCACCGCCACGTCCGTCGACCAGATCTGCGTCCCCTCCGGTCTCTGCGCGCACATGGCCCACACGGCTTCCTTGCGCGCAGACCACAGGTCGTGCATGTCCTGCTCGGTCTTTGCGAATTCAAAGGCGCTGCCGCCGCTCTGTGAGGAGATCGTTTCGACCTTGGTGATGTCTGCGGCGATTGATTGGGCGGTGCCGGAGAATCTATGGATAGTAAGTAATCCAGTCAGGACCTCAAACGCCGTGTTGCAAAAGAAAGGGGGACGTACTTGAACAGCAGGGTGGGCTTCTCCTCCCACATTCTGCCTCCAGAGCCGCCGTTTTTGTTGATTACGCCCATCTGCACCTCGTCCATGAGTTCCACCGCGGCGATCGGGACACCCTGCCGCATGATCTTGGAGGCGCAGGCGACCGCAGCACGGACAGAGGGGAAGGTGGCAACCGCGACACTGTGTGCCTCGGGGATCGGGGCGAGCTTGAGAGTGATTTCGGTGATCATTCCGAGTGTCCCCTCGGACCCGGTGAATAGGCCGGTGAGGTTGTATCCGGCGGATGTTTTGCTAGGCGGTTAGTGACTACGTGATGAAGAAATTCGAGTACGTACCGTGGTCGATGCCTGGTTTTTATCACTGAGCCGTCTGCGAGGACCACGGTGAGGTTGAGGACCCAGTCCTTCATTGTCCCGTATCTCACTGCGTTTGTCCCACTGCCTGGTTAGCTGTAGACTCCAATAGGTATCAACGGAGGCATGTACCTGCAGTTTGTGGCGACCATCCCTCCAATGAGTGCCTGGTACGAGTTAGTGGATGGAGCTCATACGCAGTCACATACAGTAGGACTTGGATCCATTGGAAGCCAGAGGCCGCTCTCCTTGATGCTGTTGTTCAACTCAACCCAGCTGACTCCAGGCTGCACCACAACATCCATACTATCGTATTTGGTCAGCCTCGAATGCAAAACAGAGAAGATTCATACTCCTCCTCATGGAACGCAACAATCCGATTCATCTGCGAGAAATCTATACTCAGCCCCGAGTACGGCGCCGTAAAGTGTCCTTCGACGCTTGATCCACCCGCAAATGGAACTACATTAAGTGAACCCAAGAGTCAGAAGACTTCTCTTGCGGACGGGTGCCATACTCATCGGGATCTTATATTCGGAGCATATCCGCGCAATGATCGAGACTTCGTCTGTGCTCTTTGGCGTCACGACGGCCACGGGCTTCGCTGCGCAATGCGAGGTTGAGACTTCCGAGTACGAATGGCGTTCGATATCGTCCTCGTCGGTTGTCACTGAGTCGGGCCCCAGGGCGTCGCAGATTTCCATGACGCCCTATTGATGCGATCGCTTAGCGGTTAGCGCACGCTGCATTGACACAGACATACCTTGAGCATCGTCTCACGATCCGCATACATCACCTCCAGCCCGTTTGTCTCCGGCATGGAAGCTGGCTGCGAAATGTGCCACGAGGTAAACGCAAGCCCGCTCAGGCCTGCTCCAACTGCGGCAGAGAGCCAGGGGGTTGCAAATCCGCTGTGCAGCCGCCCTTGCTGTGCAGCATGCTGGACGTGTCTAGTCCACTGCGGTCCCCTTCGCGCAAAGGCCTTGCCAGCAGAAGACAATACCGTCGGTTGAAACCTGAGTGCTCGTACTCGATACATGATGATGTTTACTACCCTTGCTTACTCCTCAAAAACATGACCGGGCGTCGTGTCTTTATGTCAGGCCGGAATTCCTCCGCACCGCGGGCACATGCACCGCAGCGGCAATTCCCAACGCGGATATCCGCCAGATCCGACGGGCGTGGAGAAGCGTAGGGCTGCCCCAGGTTTCCCCGCGATTTGTGCTCTGATTCTGGCTGAATAAATGCTATAGAGTGCTATAAAGGCCTTGCTCCATGACACCATACAGCACCTCCCTCCCATATCAGACAACTGGAATCAGACAAACCAGCATGGCATCTGCTCCGAAGAATATGGCTACGCATACCGAGTTCGCCCCGTCGGAGGGCAAGCCTGAGAACGTTGAGCTCTCGGAGGGCGCCCCGACGATCGATGAGGAGACCAACAGGAGGCTGCTGCGCAAGATTGACATGCGGTTGATGCCGGTGGTAAGCCACCCACTCTGTAGGAGAGAGAGCCTTGCTTACTCGCCAGATGTGCTTCACGTATGCCCTGCAGTACTACGACAAGGCGTTGCTGAGCCAGGCCGCCATCTTTGGTCTGCGAGACGACCTCGGGATCCAGGATGGGCTGAAGTACTCCTGGGTCTCGCTCATCTTCTACTTTGGCTACATCGCTGGCTGCTACCCGGTATGTCCGCCACTCCTCGTCCTCATCTAGGGCAGTCGACTAATACTCTTCATCCGGATTAGATCTCCTGGCTCTCGCAGAGATTCTCCATCCGCAAAGTCTGCCCGATCATCTGCTTCCTCTGGGCCATCGTCGTCATCTGCACCCCGGCCTGCACAAACTACGCCGGCATGCTCGTCAACCGCTTCATGCTGGGCCTCATCGAGAGCGGCGTCTCGCCGGCCTTCATGCTCTGCACGGGGATGTGGTACACACACTCGGAGCAGGTCTTCCGCTCGTCCCTCTGGTACTCCTTCAGCGGGGGCTCGAACATCATCTCCCCGCTGATCAACTACGGCCTCGGCCACATCACCGGCGGGTCCATGCATCCATGGCAATACATGTATCTGATCGCGGGGCTCGCGACGCTCCTCTGGTCCGTGGCGCTGTGGTTCATCTTCCCCGGGAGTCCCGAAGAAGCGCACGGCTTCACGCCCGAAGAGCGAAGCATGCTCCTGGAGCGGGTGCGCGCAAACAACGCGGGTTCCGAGAACAGACACTTCAAATGGTACCAGATGCGCGAGGCCCTGCTCTCCTACCACTTCTGGCTCATCTTCCTGCTCTCCACCCTCTCGAGCATCGGGTCCGGCGCTGTGACGACCTTCGGCTCAATCATCTTCAACGGCATGGGGTTCTCGACCTTCCAGTCGCTGCTCCTCAACATGCCCATTGGCGCGCTGGCGTTCATCTGCGTCCTGGGCTCCGGGTATATCGGGCGCAGGGTCCCGAATGCGAGATTACATGTCGTCAGTGGCGCCTGTGTCCCTGTTATATTGGGAAGCTGTTTGATGTAAGCCCTAGTTACCGCATCTGCACTGCAGGATTCCACTGATTCTGGTCCGTAGATGGCGCCTCCCCTCCTCTGAACGCGCCGCCCGCATCGTCGGCTTCTACCTAATCAACTTCTTCTCCTCAGCCTGGGTGCAGTGCATCGCCATGGGGACGTCCAGCGTCGCCGGGCACACCAAGAAAGCCACCATGGCCGCGGGGACGTTCATCGGGTACTCGCTGGGCAACATCATTGGGCCGCTTACATTCGACGCGTAACTCTCTCCCCCTCCCCTTGTCGCTGACCCCTACAATAATACCCCATCTATCATCACCGCGCCTCTAACACGATGCCAGAGACGATGCCCCCCGCTACGACCCCGGCTTCCAAGCAACCGTCATCTGCTTCGGGATCTGTTTGTTGCTTGCGCAGGTCTTCCGGGCGCTGCTGCTCGTCCAGAATAGGAGGAGGGAGAGGGAGTATGGCCCGCCGACTAGTGAGCGTGGGCTGGAGGATCTGACGGATGGGGAGAATAAGTCGTTTCGGTATCCGCTGTAATAGCCATCCAGGCTCATGGTCCTTGTTCTTGTTTACGATAGTGCGTGGGAATGGGTTTGCTACTTGTTCTCTCTGTTGTCCCCTTTTTCGGCTGAGGATAGGGAATCTATCCATGGATGGGTTTTGTCACTTGTGTAGGTATGCTTTGGCCGGATCGTCCAGCGTTGAATACAGATTACGACGCCTTATCATTTTCATACGTTCCTTTGTCAGGGACATATTAAGTACCTAAGGTTAGTGCCGGGCCTCTAGCCCTAAGGGAAAATGGATATCCTCATTTCCGGGTGGGCAAACGGACAAACCAAGCCATCGTATAGGTCAGAGTACCATTTAAAGACCGTAACAGGTCTCATTGCCTGTTCTTTCATCCTGAAATGGCTGGAAGTACCTTGCATGTAATTATTCTCGCTGACATACATCCAATGGCATCTGCACATCCCCGAGCTAGAGGTCATCCTACCGCTGCCATTACAGTCCGCACCCTCAGGGTCGTCCCACAGTCCCATCCAGGATAGATCTCTTACAGCCACAAGCCCAGGCCACAGAATCGAATTGCCAGATAGCTATCAATCAAAATTAGGCACTCGAGCCTATTCCCCTTCTCCACCCCCTATCCCATCCTCGCATCCCGCCCATGAACCAAACCAATCTGCGCCTGCAGCCGCCACGGGACATCCATCTTGTCCATGATGACCTCCAGGAGCTGAACCGAGTTGAGAGCCGTGTATTGCGGCGAGGAAATGGCGTCCTCGAACCCCTCCTTTGTGTCGACGACGCGGCTGTTGCTCTCCCCGTTTTGGGCCCCGAATGCGCGGAGGAGGAGCTGGTGGTTCCAGGCGGGGATGTCGTTGTATCCTTACAATGTCAGTTTGTCAGTAGCACCCTAGATTTGCTGGGCTTGGGAATCGGGGGCGTTGGGGGGTGGTTGGCTCACCCTGCTCGGGCCCGTGGATTGCGCGCTCGATTGTGTAGCCGCTGTTGTTGATGACTATTCTGGATGGAGGTCAGTTGCGAGCCCGGGGCGGGTCGTATGGGTATGTGACGTGCAGGGTGGTATGGTAGCAACCCTAGCGGACGGGAAGGTCAAGGTCAAGGTCAAGACGTACATGATAACATTCCCCAACCCCCTCTTCACCATCGTGCCAATCTCCTGCACAGTCAGCTGCAGACTCCCGTCCCCAACGACAAGGATCGTCCTCCCTGTACGGGCCTGGGTCCCTCCATTTCCATTCTCTTCACCTCCACAACCAAATGCACGCGTACGCGTCTGATCCTCCCTCTCGCGCTGCGCAACGGCCGCCCCGAAGCACGCCGGCACCGAGTACCCGATGCTCCCGAAGTATATCTGCGTGATGTACTGGACGCCCGGCGCAAACGGGGCATCGGAGAGCCCGAACTGCGCGGTCCCGGACTCGCCGATGATAATGTCGCCCGGGCGCGCCATTGCGCCGATGCGCGGCCAGATCCAGGATTGCGTGATTTGGCGGGACGATGTATCGGCGGGTGGGGGAG